TTCTTTCTTTCTTTCTTTCTTTCTTTCTTTCTTTCTCTCTTTCTTTCCTCCTCCTCCTCCCCCTGTCCCCCCTTTCCCTGCAGGAGCACTTCACACCGGAATGCAAGTTCAAAGAATCCGTTTTCGAAAACTATTACGTCACGTATTCTTCCATGATCTACCGGCAGATGCAATCGGGAAGAGGTTGGTACTTGGGCCTCAACAAAGAAGGCGAGGTCATGAAAGGGAACCATGTGAAGAAAAACAAGCCCGCTGCACATTTTCTTCCCAAACCGCTAAAAGGTAACACCCTTTGCAGAGCCGCTGGGGGTTTGCAGGGCTTTCGGGAGACCCCCTAGCTGAGATTCTGTGAAATTCGGAGAACCCGCAAATCCCACTCCTGGCTGGCCCCGCCCACCCGGCCCCTCCCTTCCCAGGAGTCCCCACGTGGCCTGTTTTGGGTGCAGGTAAGTGCAGGGCACGCACAGAGACTCAAGGAGGGCAAAAAAAGCGGGCCTCCCGGAAGTTTGGAAGGGCCGGAAATGGGCCCGTTTCCAATTTTTAGAGAGCCTCCGGAGCGCGGGGAGGGCGAAGATGCCCCTCCCCCATGGTGCAGGAGACTGGCTAGGCCACGCCCACCCAGCAACTGGCAGAGAACCCCTTGCTGGTTGAGGAACAATCTCCTGGAAGTCAGTTCCTGGATCAACTTAGAAACCTAGACTCATGGGGGAGGTTGGAAGGGATCTCTCTGGAGATCTTCTAGCCCAAGATCCTGTTCAAGTAGGAGATCCATCTGTGATTCTTCTCTGACTTTCCTTTCTCCTCCTTCCAACCAGTGGCCATGTACAAAGAACCTTCCCTCCACGACCTTACTGAATTCTCACGGTCTGGTAGTGGTACCCCAACGAAAAGCAGAAGCGTCTCCGGAGCTTTGAATGGCGGCAAATCTATGAGCCAAAACGAATCCACGTAGCCGGGACGGTGAAAGGAAGAGGCGGAGGAGGAGGAGCATCGGTGGAACTTTTGAACCTCTAGGATCTGCCGTGGAATCCTTATTTTTGCGAAACCTACCGTTCAGCCCTTCCCGACAAAGCCAACAAACTGGGATAGGCCTCTCGGGCCTTTTATCAGCTACTTTGGACTTTCCGGAGGTCCCCAAATCATTCATACATGATTCGTGTCGAAGGAAAGATTGATTTCACTTCTGTCCCCATTGGTATAAAATGCGCTTGTGCAAACGTGGGCCTAGCCAGGCAAACATGAAGCTATGACCTCACATTGAGCCTGCCGTTACTTCTTATCTTCACCGAAGGTCTTGTGGAGAAAAAATTAAAAAAAAAAATCCTGCAAAATTTAAAAACACCCTTGGCTTTCTAACTGAGACAGAAACCCTGTCAAAGATCTTTCTTTCTTTCTTTCTTTCTTTCTTTCTTTCTTTCTTTCTTTCTTTCTTTCTTTCTTTCTTTCTCTTTCCTTTGCTCTTTGAGGGAAATTTCAATATTTAGTGTTTTATATATGAATGGTTCGGAGTGGGGAAGGGGGACTCTGTATACCCTCTGCTTTTTTTTTTTCCAGTTTTCCATTTTATATATCATAAAAGCTTGGTCAGGAAAAGAAATCTGAATATATCTCTCTCTCTCTTTTTTTTTGGCATTTTTGGGGAGGGATCGCTTCTCTGGAAGGCGCCTTGAGCTGTGTCTTTACAAGCAAAGCAAAATCCTGCTGATACGCTAGTGTAATCTTGAGGGAAAATAATCAATAAATCAGGTTTGGAGCTGGATTCGCAGTAAATCTCAGGCTCCAGCAAAATAAAAATAAAAAGTGTTCTTGTGATTTTAACACACACTGAGATATATACAGTTTTTTTTATATAGATTTGTAGTCATCCTTTCCAAGCCCTCATGCTATACCCCCAAGTCTGTAGGAACCGAGGTGAGTGTTAATTTCCCCCTCTGTGGAAAATATTATTTTTTAAAAAAAACAGTTCATCCCACAATGTAGATGTCCTTTTCTTTCTTTCTTTTTTCTCTCCTCCTCCTCTTCCCTCCACTCTTCTTTTAATTTTGTGTATCATATTTAAAACAAAAACGCAAAACCTGTGGACATACCTTCTTTTTTTCTAAAGACAGAAACTGTGGAACTAAAGTGACTTAACTCCATTTTTATAAAGGGAAACCATGACATCTTATTTGTAAACATCTTTCCTTTTTTTGCTTCCCTGAAAATTTGGGTGGAGAGTTGAAGGTTTAAGTTGGGGAAAGCCTACTACTACACGGAAAGGAATTGCAATCCAGCCTGTTGAGTTGATTGGGGTTGAAGGAAGTTAATCTCTCCTGGTCTTGCCTTGAGAGAGGAGAAGCTGTTAAGACAAGAAAGGATAGGGGTGGATTTCTAAAATCTGGCTGGAAATTGTGTAGATCTTGGTGGAAGAAGAAAAGGTACAAGCATCCATCTCAATATAGGAACCTTTTTGAATCCAATAGATGGGAATATTTGTAGCTCAGGTTTGAACTGTGGGATCCTTGGTGCTCACTGAGCTTGGTGGCTTTTTTGCAGACATTTCATGACCCAACTAGGTATCATCATCAGGGCAGTTCCAGGTCCACCAAGGACTCTCCTTCCTGAATCTTTACTTTCTATTTGCAAGAGGCTGGAATTGTATTTTCCTTCTCTGTTGTTTTTAAAGGAAACAACAAGTAATGCAACCAGGGTGGGAGAGGAAGTTAAGTCTCTGTTTAGTTCATCATATCTCTTGCATGAGAGGAAGTTGGAGGCTGGTTTCAGAAGTTGCATGATCTGTTTAAGATTTTGTGCATTGCTCTCTGTCAAAGATAACGTGTACAAAGCAGATATTGGGCCAGGATGAGCTGTTTCCAGTCGCTTTGTACAAAGGAGATGTTTATTATTTGTTGTATACAACCATGCACTGAATAAACAAATTTATATTAAGGTGTCCATTCTAAAAAAAAACAAAAAAAAACAAAGAATAACAAAGTAGCTTGTGGATTTCATTCAGTTCCTGGGCTTTTTACCTGGAGATAAAAATGCAGCCTTGTAAATTACACAACGTCCATCTCAAACTTTCATTGCTTCTCGAGTAGGCTGCGTCCTTTGAATCCTGTAAGGGGATTCTGTGGGGTCTTTCATGACACTAATACCCTTTTCCCCCAAATATAAGATCCAACTGGAAAACAAGCCCTAGCATGGTTTTTCAGGCTGCTCATAATATAAGCTCTATCCCAAATATAAGCCCCCAGTTAAGATTGTCCACAGGACGGATGCATTTAGTACTGTATTTCCCCAAAAAAACAAGATCTAACCATAAAATAAGCCCCAATACGTCATTTGGAGCAAAAATTAATATAAGACCCAGTCTTATTTTTGGGTAGAAAGCTCTAGGGCAGAAGCTCTGCAGATGAATTCCATCCCCAACATCTCCAAGTAGAACTGGGAAAACACCTGAGAAGACTTTGCACAGCCTCTTGGTAAGTCAGTGTCAATAACCATGGAGGGGGGACATATAGTAAGGGAGGGGGGGGCTTTCATTTTAAGGTAACTTTTAGGGGGAAAGCTGTTCCTCAGGTGTGAATAGGTGACAGGTGGAGAACCTCCCAAAAGGAAAGTTGCTCATGCCCAAATCCCCATTTTTCATCAGCTCCGAAGGAGAAGTTTCCATGAATACTAAAAACCACACTTAAGAGTAGGCTGGAGAGCTTTCAAGAGGCACTGATGCAGAACGGAGAAGAAGCCAAGTTCTTTCTCATTCGTTGGCCACCAACTTCCAAGAACATCTTTCTGCTCGCTGGAACAAGTTGCTCTTCAAACAAGCTTCAGCTTTCGGCGATGAGAGCAAACCGTGGCCTCCTGCAATCCAAAGCCATGAGTCACTTTTTTGGGGGGAGGGGAGAACTGAGAAAGATTAATCGCTTTATTCTCTTGCCTTTTGAGAAAGGGGAAAACATCCTGCACAAGTCAACATCAATCAATATCTCATCAGGAGCCCAGCATATGTTTTGCAAAGTATGTCTGGCTTTCCTTTTCAACCACTGACATTTAGTTAATTTTAGTTAAATTCATCATGTTCCTTCAATGAGCCTTCCCCCAAGTTAGATGCGTTGGGCTATGGTGAGCACCATTCCCAACTAGCAGGCTAACATCATTCTGGGAGTTAAAGTCCATCCCATTCACAGGTGATTTGGGAGAAGGTTTATAGTAAGAGTGGCATGAAGAACTTTTAGGGAGATTCTCAATCATCCAGGCCATGGTTGTCCCAAAGATCCCTTTTTTTCCAAAAGGCAACTGGACTTTCTTAGTTTTATTCCTTGAAAACATTTCACTTCTCATCCAAAAAGCTCAGAATTGAAGAAGCTTCTTGGATGAGAAGTGAAACATTTTCAAGGGAAAAGAAACCCAAGAAAGTCCTGTTGACTTGGAAAAAAGAAACTTTGGGACATGAATAACTTCCTTTAAAAATGATGAGGGGAAAATGATTGTTAGGGCTCTGACAAATTCATCCCCATTCAAATCATAAGTCTCTAGCCACATCTCTCAGAATAAAGATTGATTTATTAGGAGTTATCATGTTGATGCTACCTGGGTGCAGCTGACACTAAGACACATCATTCATTTCCCCCTTGACCCTGGTCTTCCTCCCACCTCCTGGATGTATAAATATTCTCCAATGGGACACCTCCATAGCCAAGAGTCATCAATCATGCTCGCCAGTAATAATCTTGCGTGTCAACAGCTTCGGCTGCCAAGGTGATTATCTATGGCATTTAAGGAATGCACTGCTTTCCCTCACTCACTTTCTGCTGGCAACTAAAAAGACCAAAGAAGTATTTTTAGTTGACACTGATATCTTACAGCTTAGGACTTTCTAGAAGGAAGAATTTTTGGTTCTTGAGCTCTAGAATGAAGTCCTGATAATAGTAGATTTTCTCCTTGTTCTGCCTACCTCCTATTCGAGCCTTATTAGCAAGTAACTCTTCCTAATCAATTTTGGCCGATTCTCTCCACCCACACAAAATAATAAAAAAAATGTATTAGCTAGTTGAAAACTCTCCAAAACTCATGGAAAACTCCTATGTATTGTCCCAAAAAACGACGTAGATACACAAATACAGTCGCCAGATGAGCTGCATCTACAGAGAGCACAATTTATTTGTGGTGTTATTTGTTAGGGTTCTTACATCCACTGAGCTCAACTCTATTCTCCTTCCATTACCTTTGTCTCCTACCTACAGAAGTAAGCGAAGACTTAGGGGGTCTTCAAGAAAATATTAGAAGGTGGCAAATATTTGTTTGCGTTGAGTGGAAATTTCACTGCATCTCACACATTTTGATGGTGGAAAAGCAGATCGGTTGTTGAGCATGCCAGAACATCTCAAGAAGGACTCCGGTAGAATCTTTGACACGTGACAGCAATTCAAGTCATATTCATGCACCAAGTGGCAGTTAAGTTGGAAGGCTCTTGAGACAAGCTACAACCAGCCTCTTATTTAAAACTCAGAGGTTGGCAAAGATTCAAAGAGATGGT